TTGTATATCATAAGTGTTGTAATCTTGTTTATAATAAAACTTCGTTTTCCTTCGAACACATCGATTGCTAAATAAGAACTATCATGCAACAAAGGACAAGGATCATAGGAAATCGGTGGAAAGGGAAAACATCACATATCTGAGAAATCATATCTAAAAATGCCATATTAGGCCTAGCTTATTCTTCATGTGGAACATAGGAAGACACAGCAAAATCCAGTGGTGGAAAAAGGCTAACAAAATCTTCATCAGAATGAACAAGTTTTGGATTGTTCATGATGAAGTGAGGCAACTTCAGGAGAAGGTGGCTGACCCATATAATGATCAATCTCTTGGTGAATAATCGCAGATAAATCCAACGACAGATCACCCTCACACACACCCAGTGAAAAAGTGCTTATAGTAAGTGTGAGACCCGAAGTAGTCACATTAACCTTAGAATTCATGGTAAATAATAAATGAAACAAATTGTTTGAGAGATAAATACAAACAAGTAAAAACACAAAAAAAATAAAGCCTGGAATAGAGGGAATCACATACATAACAAGAGTGTGGTGCTCTCATTTATGGAGGGTTGTTGCATGATGATTTGCATGAGACACATATTGGAATGAGTCATTTCCAATCGAGAGGAGGCAAAATGTTTGTGGCATATGTAAAATTTTTTTGCATATAGAGGGCAGCACTGAATGAGACTAGCTAATTATGTGAGAGGGGTAAATATACCATATAGTAATTTAACTGTGCAACTGTAAAATGAACATACTAACTTCTAGAACTCATCTGCATTATAAAATATGGATGTCTTAATACTCAAAATTCAATGGGTGCCTTAGTTCTACACCTGTTCTAAATATAAGTGAATAATTATTCTACATCCAGTGGTGATGTGAATGGAAGATAAAGGGTGGAGGGTATAACCACTGAAATTTGTCTGCTTTCTCTAAGTTGTTCACTAAAAAGTTCAGTGAAAGCTACATCTCCCAGAATACAAAATATTCACTTACTAGGCAACCCTACACAAGGAGAACCCACTCAAAAAAAATATTATTCAATATCTGGTTAGTCCTTACAGCTTCTTAATTTATCTTCCATAGGTTTTTCCTTAATTTAAAACAAAAAAAAACCTCATTCCCCACACCTTTTTGTCTCCCCACTCTCAGAATTCTGGAATCAGAACTGTCTAAAACTCAACTATAACGTTGAGGAATTATTTTTCTATTCAACTGTAACAACCACATTAATTGTTCAACATCTTAACTGCAACATGAATGTAATAACTGCATTTCAACTACCTCTAATGAGCAGATATTATTTTTTCAAAAATTAATTTCTACCATGCATTAATAATTATTTAACTCATGGTTGTTTACTTTAAAACTACTTAAAAATACTTCTCTATATTAAGTAAAATAACTAAAATAAAGGTTTTTGTAAACAGTATGATTCAAGCAAAATACTGTATTAAAAATAAACTTATGAACTGTTATACTACTATTTCATTATTCCTTAATTGTGCTCAGGCTAGAGATTGAAGCAGACAAGCTGACAAAATTCTACCTGTGTAACCCATGTAGCCCTTTTGTCCTCCACTTGGGCCAAGTCTTACAACAAATGTGTCTAAATTTCGTTCCTTAACACGGAGTGGGCCCCATGTAGTTGGTTTCATTTTATTTACAGGTCTGGTAAAGTGGAAACAGTTCTTAGCTTCAGGTCTCCCTAAGTTTATCTTCACATTACCTATAAGAAACAAGTAGTAACTGTATGTGTTAGTAAAATAGAAAAACAACTCCTAGTCCAAGTGTTTCCAAAAAATTACTTGTTTTATTTCAAAGGTTCTATATTTAAAAATCATATCAGGGTAAACTTGTAATCTAAATTATTTTCCATTTAAATTACAAACATCATAGACAGACCAAGTAAAGTTAATGATTCATATATGGGTGATTACCTCTTCTCATTCTACTAGAACCTGTTTAAAATGTTTTTGTGTTTTATGTGCATTAATCGACACTTACAGTAAGTAAACAAAATATGATACATATTCAATAATAAAGTAAAACATGAATGTAATAATATGAAACATTTATTGCCCCCCAGTGGCACAGTGGTATGTCTGCGGATTTACAACACTAGAATCCGGGTTTCGATACCCTTGGTGGGCAGAACACAGATAGCCTATTGTGTAGCTTTGTGCTTAACTTGAAACAAACAATGAAACATTTACTAAATGTTGTGGAATCTTCAAGATCCATCTTCAGTAATCTAGAGGTGTAAAACAAACACAATGGTAATTACACAAGAAAAATTATATAATTTGTAATAAATAATACGTAAAAAAGTTGAATACAAAAAATAAAACAAGAGAAAATGAAAATATGTAGTGAAAATGAAATAGCTAAGTTAAAATAGATGAAGAATATGTATTATTTATAGACAGACAGAAGAAGAATTTCTATGAATAATGTTTCTTTTATTAGAAGTTCATATCATCTAGATTACCAAAGATGGAATTTTGAAGATTCCAAAATGTGCAATAAATGCTTCATATTATTACATTTATGTTTTACTTTGTTATAAAATTATGCTTTTGAAAAATGAATCAATTACTATGACACATATTACGGAGATTGTATAAAGCTGTTTACTTGTCACTAGTTCACAAACTGTACCAAGCATATTACTGTAAAAAAATAAATAAATGTTTGGTGATAAATCTCTCAATTATTCATCCAAATTATACTATGTGTATTGCCACACATTCTCTCCACACTTCTGGCATTTGAAATAATGATTTTTCTTTGTCGAGCAGAAAAAACAACAGAGAATAGGGCAACAAAAATGAAATTATTCAACTATTGTTTTACTGGAACTGCTTAAACTTTAGACTTTGAAAAGAAATTGTACAAAATTTTTCATGAATAATTAAATGTTCATTATAATTATAATTTTTGCTGCATTGTATGCTTGAAGATAATTCTGTTCTTTACACTAAAATAAACAGATGATTAAGCTTGCAAACATAGCTCAACAGGTCTTAAGCTTACAACTCTCTCTCTATAGGTATATCTATGTATAGAATAATGGAATAACCATAGACATGCTCATGTGATACAAATACAGGAGTCAAAAACAATAACTAACAGCAACTAGACTGTAAACTTATTAATGGTATAAATCATTACTGGAGAAAATACATAAGGAAAGGAAGTACGTTGTACAATGCACTATTATTCTCCATGTGCATCTTTTGCTTTACACAGAACATTACTCTTTCTTTTAATGCTGTCTACAGTTTATCAATATATCAATGTGGAATATTGTTCTAAATATCCTGTATTACTCCAAACAAATCAGCAAAGTTTCAGGTCACTTTTGACTTTCTAATTTTTTACATAAACCAAATAGCCTCAAGAATGTTCGTATTGACTTCATGCAGGCAAAGCCATGTTGTGAGTGTTCCATCAGCCTCTTTACCATCAAGATATCAATGTAACACATTCACTTATGGAATGAGTTTACATCAACAGCAGTGGAGGCCAGTACCTTACAAGAATCTTAAAGTGAGATAATTTCCTGAAAAGCTGTTTCTGGAATTTAACATAGCAAATATTTGCTAAATATTTGAGATGAGATTAAATTCACATCAGACTATATTAGTCTACATATCTTCCTTCACTGAATTAACATAAACTCACTTATAAGTAGTAAAATGTATGAAAAACTTGAAATTAAACATAAATCTGCATAAAGTATAACAAAAACACTTATAAACCTTTACAAACATAGTCTTTAAAAGCCACTGTGTTTGGCTGCAGGCACTAGTTCACATCATTATTAACCAACAGTACAAGAGTAAAGCATATTGACTAAAGCCTTAAAATTAAATAAGTTTCTTATCCTAAAAACTGGTGATAAAATAAACTGAATATATTCTCCCTCAGAGAATTATTAAAATGTTCAGACTACTGTCCTGTATACAATAAAACTTTTAAAATAAGTTTGGAGAAAAGTAAATTGTAGAAGTTAAGAAGTAGTCCTTGGGTTTCACGTCTAATTAATAATGAATGGTATCAATAAGAGCAATTGAATTTATTAAATTTGAAACCTTCCTAAAGATAAATATATATATATATGAAGTTTTTTAGAAGTTTGCAACACCTGCCTATTTAATAATGGATATGGAGGTTTTAAATTTTGATCATCTTTACTTTTACATTTGTAATATAAGCAATTACGTTTTTGAAATTTGAAAAGCACTTGAAAAATGGTTTAATATTTTTATTTATGATCAGAGTTTATAAGTGGCAAGGTGAAAACATACCATCTAGTGACTCAGTACTTTTGATTTTAAATATATTTACTTAAACTGAAACAACAGGAAAGGGGGATGGGCATATTAACTTTGCAGTAATGAATTACAGGGATGTTGCTTGCTTGTATTTTGCCACTTTTATGAATTTCTTTGCTAATATTAAGGGCTATTAATTATTTATATATATATATAGTTTTCTGTAAATATATATAAGGTTTTAACAGGTATGGAAGACAGATTTTTCTAATTTTACAGTTTCTTTATATAGAATTTTGTCAATAAAAATCCTATATCGGAGAACAATTACAATTAAAACACAAATTCAACCACAAGATTCTATCAACATAAAAAGTTTAAATGATAATATCATAAGCTATATTTTCAATGTTATACTTCAGTTGCTTGCTAAAGGGAGATGCTAATCATGAAGATGATATTAGATCTATGAAGTACATATAAGTAGTCCTTGAAAAACTTAGAAAGTTCATAATGATGTAACAATCTAAACATTTCATGGAATTTGAAGAAATGAGAGTACATTATAAATATACGTATTCAATGATAATTCAGTGAAGTATTGAGAGTGTTAGAAATCAGCATTAGTTGTGAGAATTATCACATGTAATTGATTAGTTAGCAAAAAAAATCTTAAGTTTATTTGCAAGTTAGGTGTACCATTAGTCTCAGAGTTTGTGTTTAAATGTTGTTTATGAACTTAGGCCTATGACTTATGTCAAAGTCAATGTAACCTTTAGCAAATGTTATAGAAGAAATAAATTAATTTGTTATCATTCCATAGCCTGAAACTGACATTATTTTTACTAAATAATCCAAAACAACATACCCAATGATTGAACATATTACAACACTGGCATCAGAGGTGAGGATATTTTGGTGAAAATAAAACAGAACTTTGACTAAAGTTCAAGATGACAACCTGGGCAAGAAACAAGAGTGAAAAGATGGAAGTCAGAAAATTAAAAGAAGACCAAGAAAGAGATAAGAACCTAAGAGAGCAGTTAAAAGATATAGATAAAATATTTAAATAAGAACTAAAAACAAAATTAAATCTGATTGAAGACAAGATCAATGAAGCTATTACAGATGTACAGAGGCTGAAAAAGTATAAAAAGACATCAACAAATTACATAACGACTGTAATAACAAAATTGAAGAAGTATAGAAGGGCTATATGACAAAATCAAATAAGTACAAAAAAAAGAGATCATTAACATAGATATCAGCATCACTGAAGTCAAAAGAACATCAGTAACAGAATGAAACATCTAGAAGATGAACTAATAAATGCAAAATTAGACAAGCCACGCATCTTTTGGAATCTGCCAAATAATTCCACTATGAAATATAGAACAGGAGAACTTATTTGGTCTCCACCCATTATTACTATCATTGTGTCACCTGTGACTACAGGGCCTCTGTTGACTATTCCAGCAAACACTAACATGTTCAGAGTGACAAACCAGATATAAGTATCCAAAGCAAGCTGAACTTGCAGAAGGTATGGAAGAGCTTCCTTAATTAACTTACACAGATGGTCCATGTGAAATGATGGATTCTTTGGCACATGACCAATTTATAGATACCATAACAGTCAAGGATATGCAAAATTAGGTTGGAGAAGTTGGCAATTGAACTTGAATCCATTAAACTTGCAGGTAAACAACTAAAAGCATCACCTAAAAGTTAGATGCCTATTGGTATGAAAAATGCAAAAGCCACCTTCCAAAGACTTATGGATAAGGCTTTACCAAGAGCAACTGAATGTTCCAAGGCTTATATATTGATGATATTATAGTGTTTTCACCCACATCTGAACAACACCTGAAAGTCTTTGAGTTGGTTATCTACAAGCTTCGTACAGCTAATCTTACTGTAAAAATTTCAAAAAAGCAAATTTTGTCAACCACAAGTATCATACTTAGAATTTAAACTTACTTCTGAGGGAGTACACACAAATGATGACAAAGTGAAAGCTGTTAAAGACTTCTCAATTCCAAAGAAATGCAAAGAGTTAAGCACATTCTTGGGTATGTGTGCCTGGTATAATCAGTTCATTTTAAACTCTACCACAATTGCTGAACCTTTATATCAGTTATGAAGGAAGCATATCAAGTGAAAATGGACCCTCTAATGTGAAGATGCATTCTAGGCTTTATACGAATCCCCTGTCTTACAACTTCCAAAATGGTGACTCTATTTTTTGCATAAAGATGCCTCAAATGTTGGATTGGGAGCAGTTCTTTGTCAGAAGAGTGTCATAACATAAGCTAGAGGAACATTGATCTCTGCAGAAATAAATTATGCTATTACAAAGTTAGAATGTTTATACATAGTCTGGGCTGTAGAAAAGTTTAAAATATACTTAGATAGGGAAGAATTTAGATCACTGACCATGCTGCCTTAA